GCATGTGGTGCTGGGGGATTGAACTGCGGTCCCTGTGCTTTGCTAAGCTTGTTCTAAGTAGGTGCTTTAGACCACTGAGCCATCTCACCAGCCCCTTTCTTTCTTGTACCAGGGATTGAACTCAGGACCCTGCACTTGCCAGGCAAGCACTTATTCTACTGAGCTGTCTCCTAGGCCCCTCTGATCTTTCAACTAAATACTTCTCAACAAAGCCCCCTCTCCTCGCTCCACCACTACTCATAGAATACTTCCTGTATACATAGCTGTGTTAAGTTTCCTGAGGAAAATTACATGAGGAATTGCTCTTCTCCTTACATGGAAAGTGTAATGCTTAATAAACAAATTCTTAAAGCTTAAAAATAGTCATCTATAACAGCTAAAAGGAGAATTCTGAGAAGGAATAATTAAAAAGGAAGAGAAGAAAAAAGAGGATAAATACAACTAATTAGTAAAAGTAAATCAAAATCCCAATTAATCATCTGAGGTCAGATGCTTGCTTAATGGCTTTTCCCTGCACATCAGTGACCTGACAGCACTTGAACTGTGGACACCACGTTGGCCACTTTGTTTCTTCCTGATGAGAATTTGTGCCCAGAAAGCAGAATGTGTGCATAATGAGATCTAGTAATCTCCAAAGCCAGAGATTTAATTTTATTTTCTAAATTTAATTACTTTGAGGAAGAGTCAAAGTAATTTCAGATCCATTTATTCCATGTGGATTTTCATAATCTGGTCATTTTTACTGTCTTCATTTTGGATTTTTAGAATAATCCTTTTTTTAAAAATTAAAAAAACAACCCCACTAAAATGTGATACATAACTGTTTTGATAAAATGTTTATTTCAGCTTGAATTAGAAATAAATTTGGGATGCCTGGACTTAGTTTAATTTCTATGAAGGAAAAATGCTCCTATAGAAGTTAAGGAAAAATATTTATTTTAGAAGCAAAACATAATAGTTTATTAGGTCTGATAGTCCAGGTTTTTGGGAGTTTGATTTAAAATCAGTGGATTTTTTTGTTTTTGTTCTTAAGGGAATCACAAATTTATATTGTGTTAAGTTTTTGACATGGAAAAATTCAAAACTACATTGCAAAATGTGGCCACTTCTATTTCAAGTATGAGAAAAAGATACGTTAGCTTTTCATAGTTATTTTTAAATCCATAAAAGATATATCCAAACAAATCACCAAAAATAGGGGCAAAGCTTTTGCCAACAATCATGTTTTCTTATACTCGTGAATAATCTGATAGTGGCACATGCTATCCTTTCTATTCAGACATTTTGGCAGCAATTGGTGGAATAGAGATTCTGACAATATTTAAAGCTTGTTATTTGCAGTTAATTCACAAAATGTTATTAGCTATAAGGTTGAAATAAGTGTAATTACTCCTGAAAACTGACAAGGAATCAATTTTATCTTTGTTAGTCTGAGTCCCATTTTCATCTCCTTTTCCACCTAAATGTCTTTATTCTTCCCATTGTTTTGTCCATTGAAGGGCACTGTACAGGTTTGCAGGGGAAAGGAAGAATGAACATTTGTGAAACACTTTCTCCAGAATTGTCAATTTTGGGTGGAGAACATTTGGATTGTTATTACATATGCAAGAAAGAATAAAATAAAAAGGCATTTTCCATATAAGTATTCAGGGCATATCATGACCCTTGCAACTATTTTTTAACATTTTAAGTCAATTTTTTTTTGCACATACTGTAAACTGTCACCTGTAACCCCGTTGTAAACAATTTGAGCACATTCATGGGGACAAGCAAATAAATAGTGGGGAAGTCAAGGGAACTCTCTTGTAGCACTACCCGGCGTCACCTGAGCTGTGGATTCAAGAATTTACTGCTTTCAACCCACAGAATGCAGGATGGCTTGATTTTCAAAGAAAAGAAATGATTTGCTACTATTTATTTCAAATGTGTGCCACTGACTGATGAAAAAGTGTAGGTTTTTAAGTGCTGCAGTACTTGCAAGTTCAATTTAACTCACTGGTATTAGGTATCCATTACATGCCATAGAAAACACAAGTATTTTCATGGAGCAGTCACATGCATTGATGTAGGGTTACCAACTGGCCTATATGTATTTTTTTGCACCTCAAAAACAGAATCACTATAGCGCTGATCATGCTTCCACACCTTCCTTGCTGAAAGACGAAGTACATACAGTGCTGGAGCTGGCCTCCAGGCCGGAAGGGAGCGGATTTAGTACTCTGGCACGATCACATCTTGCTGTGAAAGTCCAAGTCCCACAGCAGGGATTTCTTCTTCTTTGGGGTCTGCTACTCCCGCCTCGGGCTTCAGGCTCTCCACCTGGCCCTTCTCTCTGGCCAGATCAGCCACCTGTATTCCGTCCTCCAGCATGCCGGGCACCGTCTTGGGGGCCTCTTCCGCAGCTATATCTGCATCTTGCACCTGCTCTATTGGCCCAGACTCTGAGCCCTCAACGGTCATGTGGGCCCCGTCTCCTTGAATGCCATCTTCTTGCGGAATAGCTCTGGCATCCTCACTGCCCTCTTGGGTTGGTGATGGCTCTCCCCCAGACTTGTGACTCTCTTGAACGCTGCTGTGACTGCTGCTGGCACTGCCCAGCCGGGAGGAGGCCACGACTGCCTTCACTGCTGCCTGGGTGGGGAAAGGAAAGTTTCCAGTGTCATCTCCACAGCAAATCCCAAATCAGAGCTCAACCTCTACTTTGTGTTGAGGCAGTGTGTGTTATAGGTCTCTGTTCAATCTTTCAAAGTACATTATTCCAGGATTGATTGCTGGATGAAAACTTGTTGGGAGAATGAACAGCAAAACCTCTTTAATCCCAAGTTAAGAGTAAGTAGTTAGTCATCTGGACAGAAGTCTGAGTAAATGTGTTTGCCCAGATGAATGGACCACATTTTAGACTGGGTCCCAAAGTATATGTTTCATAGAACATTAGTTCCATGAATTGCAGCAGGTTTTATGAACATTAAAAGCTCTATGGTCAAAATAGCTTCAAAAATTCTGGTTTGAATCACATTATTGAATGCAGGGTTTTTCAAATTAATGTAATCATAGCCCCTACTTCAGGTTTATTTTTTTCTGTAGCAGCCTGTGGAAAAAAATGGCAGAATAGGTCCCTAATTTTGACCCCTACCTATTCTCTAAAATCCATGCTTCTTACAAATTCTGAACACCACTGTATCATACGAAAGCACCTAATCTCTAAACAAGCTATGAGATAGACAATGGTACCTCTATTTACAAACAATTTGTTTTACAATTTGGGGGAAGATGGTCTTGTTTGCATTCATGTTCATACGGGGAAGATGGCCATGGTTGTGTTTGTCATCTGACGCAGAGTTTGTGAATAAAAGCAAAATTTTGCCAGGTACTCCTATTTGCAAATTGATTGGTTTTGCGAATAGAGGTGTTAGTACACTGAGGTATTACTGTATGTTGTTGAATAATTTTCTGTATCATTTAAGTTATTTAAATATTTTCAACCATAGTACATACATACAATGAAATATAGTTTTAGATTTGTCTCCCTTTTTTTTTTTTTTTTTTTTTTTGTACTGGGGATTGAAGCCAGGACTTTGTACTTGCCAGGCAGGTGCTTGTGTCACTGAGCTATCTCCCCAGCTGTCTTCTGTTTTTTAGATATTTAGGAAGAAAACAATTTCTTGAACAGTTTTCTGAACAAAGCTCCTTAATAAGGAGTTTAACTTGTATTGGATAAGAAGCAGCAACAGTATATTTGGTGGGTGAATCTCAAACTACAACTTCTCTCCCATTATTAATAATGAATTTATGAGAGGAAAACAAAGCAGTAAGTGGCTGTATGCTACGCTGTTGGTATTTCAAGGCAAGATTTTCTCCTCAATGTCACTAGAAATGAATAGCAGCATCAGAGGAAGACAAAAATCTGTTTCACACAAAGTAAAACCTATCATCTTACCTTAAGCTTGCGCCGAGCGTTGAATTCCTGGAGCTTCTTTTGCGCAGTGTCCATGTGCACAAAGTTGGCTGCCTTCCCGGTCACCCACGGGTGCTGGAGAGCTTGGAAGGTAGTCAGCCGCTTCTTAGGATCCAAAACAATTAATTTTCTGACCTGAAATAATAATAATAAAAAATAGACTTTGGGCAACTTTTTTTGGCTACCTGGACTTGTCCTCAGTTTGTAAACTTCTAGATCTTCTGTTTTCCAAGCAACAATACTGAAGACATTATTATTTTTTTTTCCCAAAAAGGTGTTTAAGTTTCAAATCGCTGTGAGTAGGACTGGATTAGGGGAGCAGTAGCTGAGGGAGACGGGACAATAATGTTACTGTCTGAGACCCCGCGCTGGCAGGTAAAGGCCCAACAGAAATCAAAGAACAGGTCCTGCATTGCCTGGACTTGATGCTCTTCAAAGGAAGAGCCAGCCTCTGAGTAATTCTAGCCTTCGCCTCACAATCACCTAGAATTCTGAACTTAAAATACAATTCCATGGTAACAGAATCACTCATGTATTGTCATTCTCTCTGTGGAGATTCAATGGCAAGCAAAGGCCACAATATCCTCATTCCATAAAGTACGATCTTATGATTCTCTTCATAGCTCTTTTTAATTTCTTGATGTTCCTAGAAGAATAAGACCAGAGCTGTGGTAAAAGTCATCTTAGAATCATAATAAAGAAGTCAGAGGCTCTGGGGTATGAGTTGATTAGAGGAATAAATCTGACCAATGGCAACCCATTCTACAATGTTTACTCTTGCTTTTAAGGAGGGGTAAAAAATAAAATGCAAGAAAAATCAACAAATAAAAGAATCTCCAGCCCTGGGTTCAGAAGGAGTGAGCCAGTATGAGGGAAGAGAACATTTGGAGTCAGGAGGCAAGCTCTGGCTTGGTTATATCTCTATTTTTGTGATCCTAGGCATAGTCACGCTTGATGGGCCAGGGATACAGCTCAACGGCGGAAGTGCCTGCCTGCTGTAGCCAGAATTGCTTACCCATAGACACTCCGATGGTGTCCATGATCTACATTGTTGAATCTCATTTCTACCTTCGTTGTTTTGCAAATACATTCTTACTTGTATACACGTGTTTTTAAAACTTAAATAATTTTTTAAATAAGTTCAGAGTTTGGACCAACTAGCTATAATTCCCAAGGGACAGATGTAGGTGAGCTCAGAGAAAGATTTTATTTCCCTAATTGTCAGAGTTTGTTTTCAAACTCAAGTCTGCAATATGTCGGACCCTCAGCTTTAAAGACAGGGAAAGACTGGATGACTTCTGAGATCCCTCTTAACTTTCAATGATTCAAAAGTCAGCTTTGGTTTTTCTCTAGAGGACTGATGGTCAATATTTCAACTACACTATACTGTCCTCTTTTACAAACTGTGGATCCCTCCCCAGAGGGTGTTTCCTGAATGCAAATGAACTTCAACGTTGGCTTAAATGAGAAGCAAGGTAAATAAAACAAAATGCACTGTTAGTAAAGTGGAGCTTGTGAACAATGCCGATAACATAACAGGACACATGTTACTGTAAGGATATTTTAATGTTTAAATGAAATTTCATGAACAACATTGTTTCATTTGAAATACATCATACATGTATATATAATAATAAGCCATGTTAAAACAAAATTTTTGTGTAAATTATGTTCTCACAGAGCCTAAGTTTCTTCACAATCATGGCTGTCTTGTGCATATTAAAGTTTATTAATCAATGCTATAATAATTATAATTTGCTATAGTTTAACTAGCAGTGAGTCCAAACATATTTATTTTCATTACCTATAGGGAAAATGCATTGATATGTATTATTAAAATTGCCTTAAATTAAAAAAAATGCAATTAGTAGAGGCATATTTTTAAGAATGGCATTTTATATTAGTTAAAGTAAATTTATTTCACTTTGTTTTGGTTATACTTACCAAGTCCTTGGCATTTAGAGATACTTCATCCCACCAGGGGGAGATAAAGTAATATTCACAATTCAAAATTCTCCTGAACATGAACTGATCACCTCTTTCATCATAGAATGGCTCAAACCCACAAAGTCTACAGGGAAAAAAATATAAAGAATAAAAGTCTTTAAAAGAACAGTACATTTCATCAGATTTCTGCAGAAATTCATGACTTTGTCACAGCCTCCTGCTAGGAACTGAAGTCTACTCAGCACCAGTATGTATTGCCTTGTTATAATTCACTGATGCTGGCATAGTAACACAATCACGTCTCCAGAAAGTAAGAATAGTGGAATATGATCTCTACAAAAAAGCTATACTTAGGACATGAAAGAACAGCAATGACAGTGACATATTAATATGGGCACCATGCTAAAGATTTTTCATGAGAACTAAGAAGAAGACAAACTGATGAAAGCTTCGATTTAGTATAAAATGCAAGAGTTGGAATTGAAAGTAAGAGGTTAAAAGTGGGATAAAAAGAGTTTTTACATTTTATTCACCCCTACTCTCTGAGTTTTTCCATAGAAATTAGTGAAATATGACATATATGTTTCCTTTTAGTATGGATTTCAGAGTGAACTAAGATAGGGGCTAAAATTATTGGCAGTGAATGTCCTTAAAAATGCTTCAATTCCATGACCAGATGGAGCCAACAGACATAAACAGCCTAAATTTATTTTATCCTTACATGTGACCTTCACTTTTGTATATCTTACAGATATTCCATTATGTTCACTGTTATAGTCTGAATTTAAAATGTCTCCCAAATGCTTATATATTGAAGGTTAGCTCCCCAAAATAGCAATGTTCAGCAGTGGTGCTTTGGGGAAATGACTGGGTCGTGAGGACTCTGACCTCATCAATGCCTAATCCGCTGGTGGGTCAACAATTTGGTAGCCTATTAGGAAGTGATGGAAATTCAGGAGGAGGTACCTAGTTGAATCTTTCTCTCTCTGCCTCTGTCTCTCTCTTCCTCTCTCTGTCTTCCATGAAGTGTGCCACTCTGTTCTTTCTGCTCTGATACTCTATCCCTTCACAAAATCTAGAAATAATGGCTTTATTTGGCCATGGACTGACACATTTGAAATGGTGAGCCAAAATAAATATTCCCTCTTGTAAATCACTTCTCTCAGAGATTTTGTCACAGTGACAGAAAGCTGACACATTCCCGTTCATTTTGCACTATAAGGTCAGGATAAAAATGAATGAGGAAAGGTTGAAAAAAGCAATGGGGAACCATCAGAGAGCAGAGGAGAGAGAGAGAGAGAGAGAGAGAGAGAGAGAGAGAGAGAGAGAGAGAGCAAGCAGAGGGGGATAGAGAAGGGTAGGGAGGGGGGAATAGAGAGGGACAAGGAAAAGGAGTTTCTGGTCTGGGATTATAAAGACTTCTCTATGTAGAGACACATAGAGGTTCTGAAATCACTATGGACCAAAAATAAACTATACAAAACATGTGGGAAATAAGTTTGAAAATATCTTCCTAGACTTGCCTAAGCTGGCCAGGTTGGCGCAGAACACGAAAGACTCTAGTGGCTCCCAAGGTGGTGGACTTAGAAAGAATGGTAGATGTCCTTTAGCGCACAGAATATCTCACTGGGAGAGTCTCTGTCTCTTCCAAACATCCTGGAGCAAGCCAAAAAAGTGGGAATGTGGAGGCCTAACTTATGTTTTTCCTTTCTTTACATTCCCAGCCTGCACAGGCAGGTCTGGAGCAGGATTCCAACCATGCTAACACCCTGATCTCAAAGTTCCAGACCTTAGAACTGGGACAATATAAATAGCTGTCGTTAAGCCACCCAGTCTATGTGTTTTCTTATGGCATCCAAGCAAGACTAATATACGTGCTTTCCAACCTTCTCAAGTCTTTCTACAAATCTGTATACTATGAGTTCCAGAACTAATAGGATCACACTCTAAATGCCAACCAAACGTATTTATTTTGGGCTAAACTTCTGAAGTATTGCTTTCCAGATTTCTATCGCAATCTTCCTTTCCAGTCACTTTTCTGTTTGGATTATGATTTCCCTTGTAATAGCTGCAATTTTATCACACTTTGGTGAATTCCCTGAAACAATTTTTTTATTAGATAGTAGTGTAGTAATGGAGTTGGAATTACCAAAGAATGAAATACTTAGTTTACTATTTTTTCTTACAGAGAAATGAAAGTAAACCCAAGGCCTTTGAGAACCTAACAAACTGGAAACAAATTTGATAGCCAAAATGTACATATTATGATAAGAAATGTGTCAGTTTGAGATTGTCTAAGAAATAAATATCCACTTATCTTCTTAAAAGGACTAATAGTTTAGCTGTCTTAGACAAGATGAAGATAAACATGAAAAATATACAATAGGTAGGCCTGGGTTTCATATTCATTATGATCATCAAAGACTCATTTCCCAATTTTTTTATACCTTATATAGCAAAACAGGACAGAGAAAGGCCCTGGACAGAAATTCTGGCCCCAAAAGAATTACAAAATATAAGCTAATACTGTGCTGGGGATATAGCTCTGTGGCATAAGCAGCTGCTTGGCAAATGCAAGATCTTGAGTTAGATCCATCCCAGACAGAGAGAGAGAGAGAGAGAGAGAGAGAGAGAGAGAGAGAGAGAGAGAGAGAAAGAAAGACAGAGACAGAGAGAGAGAAAAAGAAAGACAGAGACAGAGAGATAGAAAGACAGAGAGACAAAAAAGAGAGACTATAAGAAAACTCTGTCATTAACTACATTTAGTATTTAGCATGAATAGAAAAGCACAAAAAGTCAACCAGCAGTTGAGTCTAAGAGAGCTGTGACTATCCAGAAAATGATTATGCAACAGCCAAGTTTGTACAAAGACTTTTCTTCACTCACAAGATGTAGGTGATTATTCCAACAGACCACATGTCCACCTCAGGCCCATAGGCACAGCCTCTAAGGATTTCAGGCGCTGCAGGAAGAGTGAAAATTGTGTTACGTTGGAACTTACACTCAGCATTTGTACCTTAATAACAATAATGAAGAAATGGATTCATTAAGAAAACTTTAGAACCCCTTCCAAACTAATTTTTTTCTCAACCACAGTATGAAATGACAATTTCTTGCATCTATTTCGGTCAGAAACATTATAGTCTGTACTTGGGATATATAAAAATTATGCTATTAATTATAAGATCTGATGCTGCTCAAACCAGAGATCTAGCTTTGCTACAGAAGAGTACTTAACTTCAAAGGGAGTTTTGTACACAGAGAAAAAAAAGGAAAGCTTAGCACAATAAAGGGAAGGGGTACAATTATGCTACCTTGAGATCTAGAACTGCTTGGAGCAGGGGATGTCCAGCGAATATCTGTGTCTAGATGTATGTAGGGCAAGAATGAGGGCAGACAGTGAGAAGGAGGGACAATCTCTGGTGCTATGAAAACTGGAAAACAAGCTGAAAACAGCCCTGTCATACGCACTGACTCAGCCCTGTATGTAAGTCCCCAGAGAGAAACTGGCCTCGGCTGGTGAGAATCAAGTGAAATGAGCAACTTCTCTGTGTATCACAAGGCACTTACAGTCCTGTCTACTGCTGTAAAAAAGACTTTGTAAAGAAAAAAAATGGCCCCAGAGTGGAGAAAAATAATGATATTTTATATTCTTACTACCTCTGAGTTGTGAAAATGCAAAGGTGAGTAGTTTGTACTGAGGATTGGGGCTGTCATTAGTCTGCCTAACAAAGGAAGAGAACAAGAAGCAAGGGCTCTGTCATCTATGGAGTGACAGGACTCAGCCTACAGGCCAGAGTAAACATTCTTCTATTTTGACCCAGTGTGGTAGGCGCCTGTGTGCTCCATGAGGACAGAGATTCTTATAGATGCCACAAGCTCTTTGAGGGTGGCATTGGGGACCAGAATCACATTTTTCCCAAGGTAGAGGCTGGAGAACAAATGAACTGCATTCCTTCTCTGTGCAGGCTGGAAACAAAACATTCAGTGAAGATTGTCAGTGTGGGCTTTGCAGTAGGCTGTCCTCAGGGACTTGATTTACCAGAAGGATTATTGTGGATCTTCCACTGACTCCTTTCACTCATTCTCTACTCCATCCTTCTGCAATCAGGACTTTCTCTTCCCATAGAAATACAATGCATTACAGGCAATAAAGAGCCCACACTATGAAATGAAGGTGTGCACCCTAAACATAGATTCCACAAGACGTACCCTTCAAGGATCTATCTCTGGAAGCAAAAGCATTTTTTACCTACAGTGGAATTAGTCCTAGAATTTTTTTAAAGATTTAAGTAACAAAATTGCAAAAATGTGTGCTCACTGCCAACATCTTTCTTTATGTCAGGTTATCTTTGGTATTTTCTAGAGAAATCTCTACCCCTCAGAACAAACCTTGGAGGCCCAACACCCCCCACATGAACTCCCACAGCAGGTGTTTTATCACAGGGCAAAGGGAGCTCAGGTGAGATGCCACTTCCAGGGGACAGGGGCCACCTGTCCTGGCCTCCAGGAGCCTTTCCGGTGAGATGCCACTTCCAGGGGACAGGGGCCACCTGTCCTGGCCTCCAGGAGCCTTTCCACACAGGGAGCTGAACACAGGCATATTTAATGAGGGTTTAGTATGCATTCGTTTGCCTCATCCAGATGTTCACATCAGGGGTTCTTATCTCCTACCTCATCTGAAATGTTATCAAGATCCATACTAACATTTAATCACAAATACAGAAATACATTGAGAAGAGTCACATTTAAGGAATCTTGACTTTTTATTTTTCAAATCTACATGAACTGGACTAGATAATTTGTGAGTTTACTGTGAGTTTTAACCTACCATCCACTGTGATTTTCTGAAAGGATTTTTTTTTTTTTGGTGGTACCAGGGATTGAACTAAGGATCTTGTGCTTCCCAGGCAAGCACTTATTCCACTGAGCTATCTCCCTAGCCCCCATCTGAAAGGATTATAGTCCATACAAGCAAGAAGGACAAGTACAAGCAGCCAAGCTTGCAGGCCCTGCTTCCTTGCCCGTCTGTTCTGCTAGAACACCTGCTGCCTGTGCTGCCCAGCAGGAGCACTTGCTCTTGGCTCTGGTGAAATCAGCTGTCTTATTTGTGCTACCCAGAGAGGCATCACGGCAAGGTCAGGTGTTTTCTCTGCTCATGTCTCATAGTTGCCAGCCCAAGAACCTCAAAGAGCATGAATACACTGAGCAAAGTGTCTTTTGGATCCAGTCTCCAGGCATGTAAGTTTCCCACCCAACAAGGTAATACCTGATCTCCCTCATAACACTGGGTACAAACATATTCTTCAAGGCCAATTTATTTTCTTATAAGGCATTACGTTGTACTATGAGTAAACTTGTATGAAGGACTAAACTTCTTTCACTGTGGATAACTGAGACAAAAGCCATATACAATACAATGTTCTTACTCTCCATAATTTATTTAAATTTAAAATTTTATTTAATTTTTAAAAATTATTAATTAATTAATTGGTACAGGGTCTCACACAGCTTGGACTTGTAGAGATCCTCCTGTCTCGGCCTCCCCAGCAATGGGATTATAGACCTGTGCTACCATGCTGGTTTCAGTGGCCAGCACAGCTCACCCAGGCTTCTGGGGCTGGCACAGCATACAGTACCAGGGATCAAACACAGGTCCTTGCACTTGCCAGGCAGGCACTTGGACTGCTGAACTATCTCCCCAGCCTGAGAACATATACTTAAATCAAAATAAAAACTGTGTTGAAACAAAGCTTAAACACCTGCCCCAAATTTTTTATTTTTCAAGTACTGCTTATTAAGACCTTTCTTCAGAATCAGCAGAATAAACTCTTCTAAAATGTATTTAAACCTTTTCTAAGAGTCAAAATCTTTTAGCTTTCCATAATAAATTTTAGGCTCTGGCACTCCACTGCTTGAAGTATCTTATATATTAAATGTCCTCACATGTGATTCTACTAATTTATGATAGTTACGCTTAGATTTAGAATGTAAGTCTCATGTATTTAGAAGATGGAATTCTGAAAGGTGATTTGATCATGGGGCTGCTAAACTTACTGCTAGGTTCATAACTAGCTATGCTATTGAGAAGTGGACATGGCTGAAAGAAGCAGGTCCCTAGTGCTATGACCTGGACAGGTATGCTCCTGTTCCTGGCTCCTCCCTCTTCACCCCTCCTACCTGGTATGTGGCCACCATGAAGGAAGTATCTTTCAGTAGCCACATCTTCCCACTATACCACTTATGCCTTGAAGACAGATGACCATGGGCTTTATTTCTTCAAGTCGTGATCCAAATTAAACTTATAGTTCTTTAAGTTATGTGTGTCAGGCTTTGCATCTAGCTATGAAAAAGCTAACTAAGACAGAAAATTTGTATGGGAGAAGAGAGTCACTGTTGGGACCATACCTGATCATGTAGTTTCAAAACATTTTGAGGTGTTTTGTAGCAGTAGTTTGGAAAGGTTTGAAAATGCAGGCTATGTAACAACTACCCATGATGAATGTAATCATATAAAATAAAAAAATAGATCATGACAATGACAAAGAAAAAAAAACTGTCTCAAGGGTCAAAGAATGCTGTAAAAAGAGTATGACATATGACTTTAGTTGGAGTTCATAAGACCACAATGTTGGCATTAGGGATACAGTTCAGTGGCACAGTGTCTGCCTGGGAAGAATGAGACCCTAAGTTTGATTTCTGATACAAAAAGAAAGAAAGAAAGAAAGAAAGAAAGAAAGAAAGAAAGAAAGAAAGAAAGAGAGAGAAAGAGAGAAAAGAGAAGGGAAGAGAAGAGAATGAAAATAAACCAGTGTTGAAAAGTGGACAGTAAAGGCCAGGCTCATGAGGTTTTACCCAGCGACAAGAAATCTATTGAAAACTAAACTACTGGCTATGTGTTTTACATTCTGGGAAGAAACGCAGGTACATTTTGCTCATGTCTTGAGATTCTGCAGTAGACTGAGGTTAAGGACAGCAGACAAATCTTGTGGAGGAAATTTCAAGACCACCCAGCATATAGGCTGTGATATGGGCACTTTGGGCTGCTTTTATTCACATTTATAGTAAGAATCAGAGGCAAAAGGCAGAGCACCAAAGTATAAAAACTTAGCTTTTGGCCTAAAAAGAACTATGCCTGAAGTTGAGGCAAAGTAGGTATGACTGCTAAAGAGACTAACACCACTAAAAAGTCAAGCATTTTGCATCAGCACAATAGGAAAGGTACATTGAAGGCATCAGAGGCTAAAGGGTGTAAACAGGCAAACTCTTAAAGGATTTTGCATGAGAAGAGAATTCCAAGGCCATAAGTGGTCAGTCAAGAGTCACGTATGGAAGTGCTTGCCATGTTCAGCTATCTAGACCCACAGAGGCCTCTGCAGCCCTGGTCCAATGGGACCAAGCTACTGCTTAACCTAGGAACAGATGGTAGTATCATTCATATTGTACTGGCTTTTTAGGTATGCATATTTAAGAGTTATGGAGCTGTGGGGTTTCCACAAGGATTTCAGAAGATGGCTTAGAAGGCCAAGCAATGAGATCTTAACAAGGTGTATGGAATTACTAGAAGTAAGTCAAAGGTTCAGAGGTGACCTAAGGGAGCTGGAGATGTGAGGAATGTGGATAATTTGCTGAGAAAAGCCATCAGCAGTAAGTGGGGCCACCCCAAGAAAGACAGCTGAAGCTGGCAATGTCATGAGGCAAGTTCACCCAAGCCCTGAGAAGTTCACATCCTTCCACAACTTGCCAAAGGTAGTGAGCACAAACAAAGGATTTAATATTTGCCCTGCTGGGCTTTGGTCTTACTTTCAACCAGTTCCTTTCTATCCTATTTTTCTCTTTTGAAATGGGAATGTTTTTCCTGTATTATTGTATGTTAGATGTACTTCATATTTTTCTTTTTCATGGTTTTTTTCTTATTCTTTTAGAGATTCACAGCTAAGTTGCCATTGGTCTTTTTTTTTA